TGAGTTGGAGTCTTACTCCGTCGCCCAGACAGGAGTGCAGCGGCCGCTCCTGGCCACCGCAGCCTCGACCTGCCGGGCTCCGGCGATCCTTCAGCCTTCGCCTTCCGAGTAGCCGGAACTACAGGCGTGCACTACCACGCCCGGCTGATTTTTTGATTTACTGCAGAGATGAGGTCTCGCTGCCCAGGCGGGTCTCGAACCCGCAGGCTCAGGTAATCCACTCACCTCAGCCTCCCAAAGGCGCGGGATTACAGGCTGAGCCACCGAGCCCGGCTAGCTGCCCTTTTATAGTTGAGAAATACTTCTTGGTTTTACTCTTAAGCTTCTAGGTAAAAATCTAGTATTATTTGCTAGAAAATCCCATTAAATAAGAATAAGAGGTAATAATATAAGAACTCAATCGGACTGTACCTAAATTAAAGTCTTTAATCTGTTATGATAAATATGCATCATCATAAAATATTAAAATTACAGCAATCTTCAGAGTCACTTTAATTATAAAACAGTCCAACCCGTGCAATAAAAAATTTCATTCTTTGTCAACAGAATAAAGGACAATAGTGTTACTTATTATCTCTATAGTTACAAATAAATCACTTTTACATACACATTTTAATATCTGGAGCATTTCACTAATCTGGACCAAATCATTTAGCTTACTGTCTACATGAAGTGAATACAAATATTACACAGAAGAAATAAAGATCACTGCTATGTAATGCAAAAACCATAGAGCTATTTTTGAATATTGCAATAACTTTTCTTCATAAATATTAAAATTTAACAATTTCTTCTATATAATTTGAATCTAATCTCAATAAATAGGACATAGCAATAAATTCTTATCTGAAATATAAATGAAAGATACTAAAACTACATTATACTTTAGGATGGCAGTGGTATTCCTGGGGGTGATGGTGGGGGTAAGGATGGGGGTGATACTCACCTGATAATCGGCTGAGTCACACTTTCGTCCTCAAGTATAATCTCTCAAGATTTTCTTCAATTAAAATTTTGGAAAATTGTCTAATATATTTAAAATACCATCAGCATGGTGGAAAAGTGTCCAATGCTGCAAAATAATAAGAAATGTACTGTTCATGTGACCATACTATAAACAATTTTGTAAATCCCATTAATGTCAACTGTCATTACAGCTGATGAGGCCTGACAGCTGTAGGTTGCTATTAACAAGAAGAAAATAGCCAGCTCTTCAAACTGAAGTTGAATAACATATGAAAAATACCAGGAATCCGACTTCCCTTTTGAAACTAAAATTAGGGAAGGTGGGGGCTTTTGAAACCTTTCCTACTTTAAGATGTCCACTGCCATTTCAAGGACTAACTTCTGAACGTCATTAGAAGAAACTGACTTCCTTTCTCTGAGTTAATAAAAGCCTATCTGCTTGAATCACCATGACTTAAACACAATGCACTCAGGTAGAAAGATATACTTACAACTGAAATTTTCAAGCTGCCAAATTTGTATAAGTAAAGTACTATTTGCCTCACCTCTCAGCAATCCATAAACAAGCAAATCAACCTTTCACCAAAAATCAACTTTGTTTATGAGGCTGATTACATATCCCATCATAAACACACATACAAACTTCTACTTTTTTTGCATTTATAGTCAAATATTAAATGCTGAATTATATGAAAGGCTTATGTTTTCATAACGGTGTATTAGACCCAGCAAATTTTATTAAAAATGACAGGCCTTAAATTTTATTTGATAAAATGTAATTTTTATCTTTATTTTAAAGTACTAAGTCTGTTAGCCTATTTGAGTTGCTGAAACCTAATAGTCAAATATGAACCGTGTCAAAGGAGGAAATAATACTGTCATACATTCTTGGTTGTTTCATTAAACGAATGATCAGTCTTTAAACTAATTATGAACCTCTCGACTTAGATGAGACGATATGGGCTTGTTGTGCAGTTAATACAGAACAAACAACATATACACAAACCACTGGATAAGCTATTTCAGCCACATATATGTGGCCCAGGATTTTCAGAAAAATCCTGTTTTTCTGTTTCTAACCCCATATTCATTATCAGAAATATGACTGCCAGACTTTTGGCATGATATATGATATATTTTATTCTATAAATGTATACACTACTTATCTTTTTTTTTGAGTTGGAGTCTCACTCTGTCACCTAGGCTGGAGTGCAGTGGCACACTCACAGCCACCTCACAGCCTTGACCAGTTGGGCTCAAGGTGATCCTTCCACCTCAGCCTTCCAAGTAGTTGGAACTATAGGCACGTGCCCCCAGGCCTGACTAATTTTTTTTATTTATTGTAGAAATGAGGTCTCACCAAGTTGCCCGGGCTGGTCTTGAACCCATGGGCTCAGGCAATCCTCTCACCTCAGCCTCCCAAAGTACTGGGATTATAGGCATGAGCCACTGTGCCTGGCCCTACTAAATGAGCTGTTACTTGTCATTGTCATCATCTATTAAGGGACTTGGAAAGATGGTCATTTCAACTAGATGCTCAGATCATTCCTTTCAAGACCCAAATTTCTTTAGAGTTGAGACATAGATATTTCTAAGAAATACTATAGTCTATAAATCTGAAATAAAATTCACCTGTGGACAAACTGTCTGGATATATATATCATATACTATGGTACGGCTGTAGCTATATTAAGCTTTATAGTTTTCTCAATAAAAAATAAGCTAGGCGTGGTGGCTCATGCCTATATTCCCAGCACTCGGGAGGCCGAGGTGAAAGGATTGCCTGAGCTCAGGGATTCAAGACCAGCCTGGGCAACTTAGTGAGACCTCATTTCCATAACAAATCAAAAAATTAGCCAGGCATGGTAGTGCACACCTATGGTTCCAGCTACTTGGAAGGTTGAGGTGGAAGGATCGCCTGAGTTCGTGCCACTGCACATATACACATATATACACATATGTATATATATATATATATATATATATGTACATACATTTAAAAAATCATGTTTTTTTTTATAACCTGGAAAAATAAGCCCATTTAAGGGTTAAGTACAAACCTTTTTTTTTCTGTTATCAATATGCCATTTCAAATGAACTTGCCCCGCATACCATTTGGTCTATTCACAGGCTTTGTGCCACCAAGCCAGGTCCAGTAGCCAGGATAGCACAAGTCTTTTCCAGATTAATTTTCATGTACCAACAGTCAGAAGAGTTTTGGGTATCAAGAACCTCCTCCTTCCACCGTATCTCCTTAACTTTAGTGCTGATCTGCCTAGAACTATGCCGGTGTGGCTTAGGCTCTGCTTATTTTCTTCTAACCTGCTCCCCTCTCTGGATAATACCCAAGTGTCACTCATTCTGGTGGTGGTTATCCTTCTTCCTTCCTGAAGACGTACTAGATTCTGCTCTGGAATTCTGAATTAATTCCAGAACCTAAGAGGCACTGTTGCTCGTTTACCATATAGACACTGGGTGGCAGAAGAAGAAACACCCCAAACAGCTTCTATAGCTATGCAAGGAGTAGATAGAGGGCAGGGCAGGGTGGAGTGCAAGTAAGATGTTTGTCTATTATCTGGGTGTGAGTATACCTTTATATGGAATCGAAGGCTTTATTCCTTCCCAGTGATAGGTGATATGGGACACCGAAAGAGGGAAAACAACACTTTAGATGGGTCTTAGTTCCTGACATAGAAACACCTAAAAAAACCCCAAACAACTACATAGATCTATTTAAGAAGTCAACTGAACTGGGTGCAGCCCGCGGGTTTGAGACCCGCCTGGGCAGCGAGACCTCATCTCTACAATAAATCAAAAAATCAGCCGGGCGTGGTAGCGCATGCCTGTAATTCTGGCTACTCGGAAGGCTGAGGCGGAAAGATCGCCGGAGCCCAGCAGGTCAAGGCTGCGGTGGCCTGGAGCGGCCACTGCACTCCAGTCTGGGTAACAGAGTGAGACTCCAACTCAAAAAAAAAAAAAAAAGAAATCAATTGGACTAATATTTTTAAAAAATCAGTTATTTTACCTAGGAGATCACTCTTGCAAAACTGGATAAAAATCGCTTTTAATTATATACTCAGATATCAAATTTAAGAAATTTAGAACTGAACTGCAAATGACTCAGATCAGGTCATTCTAAGTTTTCAGTATTACTGATCAAATATGAGCAAAGATGTAAAGAAAATCCCTCCAATTATTTAAATATTCTTTCACAAACATATAAGCAAAACCCAAATATAGGAGGCCAGTTAATTCTTAAAACACGGCTGGGCGTGGTAGCTCAAGCCTGTAATCCCAGCACTTTGGGAGGCCGAGGCAAGAGGACTGCCTGAGCTCAGGAGCTCGAGACCAGCCTGAGCAACATGGCGAGACCTCGTGTCTACAATAAATAAAAAAATTAGCCGGGCATGGTGGTGCATGCCCATGATCCCAACTGTCTGGAAGGCTGAGGTGGAAGGATCACCTGAGCCCAGCAGGTCGAGGTTGCAGTGGCTGAGAGCAGCATGCCACTGCACTCCAGCCTGGGTGACAGAGTGAGACTCCAACTCCAAAAAAAAAAAAAAAATCTTAAAACTCAAAGAACCAAGACTGACATTCAATGGGTGTTTTTGGTAACTTCCCACTAGATAATATACTTCTTCAAAAATCCAGTATACGTGAAATAATAATAAAAAAACTTGTCACATACAAATACTTAATCTAAATGTGGACAAAAATGCACTATTTTAAAAAATGTATTCAAAACAGCTTCATAACAGAGGGTGGAAGGTGTTGACACATTACCTTGATTATCTCAAAAGATTTAAGATGCCCCACCCTCTGGCACTTCTGGTTTTTCAGAATGGTTACTTATGCCTCTGAGGTAAGAGAGTGACAACATTTCAAATGGTCCCTCTCATTCCTCTCTGGCATTTTAGGGTCCGGTTAGGAAGAAAAACATGCTAACATCAGAAAACAATATTCTACTCAAGAAAGCAGATGTTTTGCACATTTGTTAAAGAAAGCTGCTTTTGCTATTATTTTTATTTACCAAAGTTCTAAAATCAAGGTATAAAAACTAATCTTGTTTTACTGAATTCCAATATTAAGCAATATAAGATTTATTACCAATATCTCAAATTAAGCTTTTCTCAGTTGAAGGTAAAATATATTACTGAAATATTTGGATCCCTATAACACATGTGTTTTATACACAGACACATACACAACACAGGTTGAGTTGTGCCTCTCCAAAATTCGTACATTGAATATGAGGTACTAGCATGTGATTACTAGGAGACAAGGTCTCTAAAGAGGTAATTAAGTTAATGAGGTGATTAGGGTAGACTTTGACCCAATAATACTGGTGTCCTTATAAGAGGAAATCTGGATACAGATGAGGCAGAGATAAGGTAATGTGAAGAAGGGAGACGCTTCAGAAGAACCCAACTCTGCTCACACGTTGATATCAGACTTTGTGGCTCCAGAGTTGTAAGGAAAGAAATTTCTGTTGATTAAGTCACTCAGTCAGTGATACTTTGCTATAGTAGTCCTAACAAACTAACACAACACGCTAACTACTTATTACTTTGAGAGACTATTGGAACAACTCGATGTCCTCTAACTGGAGGTAAGGGGATCAAAGCCTTTCCCTTACCATGGGAGCACCATGACATACTATTTCTCAGAATGCATTGCTTTGCCTTATCAGTCTGCTTTTTTCAGCTACACCACAGACAGCATTATACAAAACAGACTGGTTTTGGAACATTTTTAGAGAATGGCAATTTCAGGATCCTTTGAGGAAAGATGTTTTGAGTTATCCTGAAATATATGAACAGAGTACTTAAAAAATTACAATGGTGCTAAGGGATCAAGATGCTTGAATATCCAACTCTGTCAATACAGATGTTAAAGTAGATCTCAAGAGACCATTCTGTAATTAAGCTAATATTTTTAAGGTTGATATTGATAACACTGTAGTATTCTGTTCAAGTACACAGTACACTATTCATATTCAAAGCAGCTTCCAGGACACTGATTATCTGGACTTATGCTTAGTACAGGAGTTAATAATGATATAATTATACTATCAACAGTAATCACCACCACCTCAGAGTTCTACGG